ATGAGAAGGCTCAGAGAGACTAGGAGGCTCACCCTGGGTCACACACCAAGTATGTCATCTACACAGTCTGGATTAGAACTTAGCTATTCTGTCACCCAGGCCAGAGGTCTTTCTTTTCTTTAAGAAAATATTTACTGTCTTAAAAAAAAATATTCCATTAGAAACACACGAAAGCATTCTTGTCATTGGAACAGCACAGAACCCGCCCAGAGGCGCCTCAGAAGCCAGGCCTAGCAATGTGCTTCCTAAAGCTTACGGCCTTGAAAACCCTATGGAGCAGCTGTACTCTGCACATGGGGTCACCGTGAGTTGGGGTCACCACGAATGAGTCAGAGTCTACTGAACGGCAGCTCACAACAACCACAGCACACACGGCTCCACCTCTCCCTTGGAAGAGCGCCTTGGTATCGGTTTGGATGGCTACAATTTCCTTGATGACACCCCCAGATCGCCCTTCACTGCTCCACACTGCCCCTTAAGACCCAATGCCTTGGGAGCCCAGGCACCAGCTGGCCCGAGAGAGCAGCCTCCATAAGGCAGCGTTTCCCGTGGATGGCATCTGAAGTGATTTTACAACAGAGCCTGGCTCAATACATATTTGTGGAATGAATTTGAGGCAGCCCTTAGACACACATTTTTTAAATTTTCAGATTAAGTATTAATTTAATGTGTGTTAGGAAAAAAAATCCCAAGTACAACAAACCAGTGATTCAGGGATATTTTTTATTTTCTTTAACATACGTTTGTTTAAGTTTAATAGAACGGGTCTACTTATAGAGAAATATTAAGTAAACAATAGCACAGGTGGAACATGGATCCAGCAAGAATTTTAAGTGTGGCAAGTGCCTGAGTGAGGTTTGGGAGCTGCTGCGAGGACGGGGGCTGGACTTGGCAGCCCGGGGGCTGGAAGCCTGGTTTCTCTCCGGAGGCCGGGAGGAGGGGGAAGGAATCTGGCCTGTCAGACTGTCAGGCAAGAGAATATTCAAGCGCTGTCTGTAAACGATTGAGTGGAAAGGGAAGTGCTTATGTTGCTCTCTTGTAATCTGTGCATTCCATGTCCCGAGAAAAGTAAATGGCAAATGGCCAGAGGGACAGACTCCCAGGATCCTGCAGGGCTGCAGCAGGTTATGATAAGAATCAACAGCTGTGGGCAAGGACGTCCCCTCGTGGGGTCGGCTTCCCCATGGGGACTGGAGCAAACCACCTGAGGTCTCAAGTCATGTGAGGGTGCTGGGGAGCCACTGGGGGCTTTGTCATCAGGGTGACATGGCAGGAGCACGTGGCAGAGCACCTGAAGTGTAAATCTTTCAGCCGTGCTCCCGGACAGTCAAAAGAATAAAGCAACTGCAGTTGTCTTGGCAATTGATTGTGGTCTTCAACCAACAGCAAAGATATTCTCTAGGAACCAAGCTTAACGTGAAGAAGGACCTGGAGTGGACTTGCAGGAGATTTGCTGGGTCTCACAATGCGCACCCAAGGGAACGTCGGGCATCACAGACCCCAGAGATCTCCAAGGAGAGAATCCATACCCACTGGTTCTCTGGTTGCCAAAAGCACAGGCAGCTGCCACGTGGCACAGCCATGTGGCCTGGTGAGTTGGCAGCCAGGCGCCCTGAGCCATGCCTGCCCCTCCACAGCTGCCTTCCCTTCCTCCCCCTCTGCCCTCCTCTGGCAAGGGAGGGGAAGACGGTCAGAACCTTGGTATTACTTGTTTTAAAAGGTTGAGGCCAAATACTTACCTCGAGGGTGATCTTCACCATGTTTTGAAAAATATATGAAAGTCAGGAATAAAATATAAAAAATGTTAGCGAACAGTGATTCTTTCTGATCGGGGGAATCACCCATGATTGTCTTTTCCTTAAAGAATAGAGAGGAGAAATGCCATCTCATCAATCTGAGACCTCCTGTTACGGACTGAATGGTGTACCCCAAAGGTTATGCTGAAGTCCTAACCCCTACCTGTAAATATCACCCTGTTTGGAAATAGGAGTTTCATTTGGTGTGTTAATGAGGTCATATGGGAGCAGGGTGAGTCCTAAACTTAATCCATCCGAGTGCTGGTTTACAAAAGGGCTGAATAGACACAGACGGACACACAGGGGAGGAGACCACAGGAGGAACCATCTACGGGCCCTTCCCTTGCTAAGGAATGCCCTAGTGCCCTGATTTGGACTTCTAGCCCCCAGTGTGTAGGAAGACACATTTCTGTCCTGAAAGCCACCACCTGGTGGCATTCTTTGTTATGGCTGCACTAGGAAACAAAGACCTGTCCTAACAGCCATACGCCCCCAAACTAGTTGAGCTCAGACCCTGGTCCCTACCACAACCCCCCCAAGAAAAGGGCACTCCCACATTAGGTTAGTTGCCCAGGTGCCGATGTCAAGATGCAGAAAGCTCCATGCCAATATTTAGAAGAAAGTCAAGCCAAGGCGGAAATCAGCACAAACAAGCCTTTTAGAAAAGGCGAGTGCTGGAGCAGGGCCCGGGTTTTATTGATAGAAGACTAGGTCATCCGAATTCTGCTGAAGCATGCAGCCAGGCCCTCCAAGGCAAACACAGCAGCTGGCGCACCAGCCCCGAGAGCAACCCCCCAAGGCTGTCTGCCAGCCGGGGGCCACTCAGCACCCACCCGGGATTGGGGCTTCTTCTCTGTGGTTGGCAGTGGGGATTCTGCTCTCGACTGGCTTTATACAGCCTGCTGGAGGGTCTCGGCATTAGCTCCTCTCCCCAGCAAAGCAAAGGGGGCGCTGCTGTCAAACACTCAGACTTGAAAGCACCTTGTGTTAGCCCCTAGGACTGCCGTCACAAAGGACCACAGACAAACAGCTTAAAGCAATAATCTCTGTCTTCACACGGCAGTCTTCCCTCTGTGTCTCTTTTCTTTTTACAAGGACACCACACATGTCGGATTAAGACCCACCCTATGCCAGTAAAAGTCCCTGGATAGCGCAAATGGTTAACGTGCTTGGCTCTTAACAGGAAATCTGGAAGTCACGGTTCAGAGGTGCCTCAGAAGAAAGGCCTGGTGATCTACTTCTGAAAGGTCATTGCCATTGAAAAGCTTATTGAGTCCGGTTCTCTGACACACATGAAGTTGCCATGATTTGGAATCAACTCAACGGTACCTTGTGAGTCCGATTTTGACCCGAATAGGAAAAAGACAGCAGTGCCCTGCTCAGAGACAGCAGCTGACTGCACCACTTTGAATGTGTGTTGCTGGGCTGTGTTCTTTGAGTGGGGTCCTGCTGCCTGTTTCCTAATCCAACTCAAGAGATTTGGTTGCTGTGCAACATGTACAACGCCCTTGTTTCCATCAGCCATGACTGAACCGCTTAGAATCGGTTCGAAGCCCTGGTTCTGGCTAAGGGCAAGGTCTTCCCAAGAGGCATCGTTACCTCAGGCTACACCCAAACCAGCTCCTAGTCTAAAGTCTGTAGAAGATGTACACAAATTTTAAAATATGTATTTTAGAACCAAGTCGATAATCCTTATAAAAACATGCATCACACTTGGGTTCCAGTACCGCTTTCCTGGTGGAGGAAAAAGGGCATGGGGCACCAGCAGGGGGGCTGGCAACACCCACAGGCGGGTCAGGAATTTGAGCATCACTGAGCACGTGCATCACGGCCAGGAAACGCATCCGAATGGCTACTCTGCGGACTTGGGGCTACTCGCGAGTCCTTGGATTCCACCAGCCCCTCTCGTCTTCCATTCACAAAATAACCAGTCACCCAGAGCATGGCGGCCTCCCTTATTGTCTCTCACAGCACCCCAGAATTTTCCCTCATAAACATGGTGTTTCTTTGTTTAAAGTCTCGCTCTCCTACGCTACTGTAAGCACAGAAAGGGCAGGTCCCATGTCTGTTCCCTTCATCACTAAGTCCCCAGCATTCCTCAGCCCTGCACGTGGTCAATACTCAAAACATATTTGTTAAACGAATAAATGAATTGTGTCATGGAACACTCCTTACTTCCTTGACCAGCAACCTTTGACTCACACATTTAAGCCCTGGTGCAAACATCACCACCTCTGGGAAGCCCTCCCTGATTTCTCCCCACACAAACACTCACTCTGTGTACCTAGAATGCCTTGGTTCATACATTTATGGCAATGTATGTCACAGTATATACTAGGTGGCTATATTCTGCCTCCCTAGCCAGAAAAAAGCTCTCTGAGGACAAGACCTATGATGTATCATTTATTATCCATTCCCCACCACCCTGCCCACCTGTCTGGCACATAGCTTAAAAAAAAAAAAAGTGTTTATCCAATATAAATCCGTTTCTGTTGAGTCAATTCCAACTCATATCGACCCTACAGGATAGAGTAGAACTGCCCTACAGGGTTTCCAAGGAGTGGCCGATGGATTCAAACTGCTGACCTTTTGGTTAACAGCCAAGCTCTTAACCACTGCACCACCAGGGCTCCTTATCCAATGTAAGAACCAGTAAATGCATTTCTCTGTCTCCATTCCAAATCCTAAGCATCAAAGTTCTGATACATCATGGTCAATTGCCTCAGCAAAACCCAGACCAAGAGCTGCTTCAGGCCTCAATATACTGGTCCTTTAACACAGCCCCTCTGGAGGCTGCCTGGCAGGCAGGCAGATGGGCTTCAAAAGCCTCGCTCCCATCATCTCCACAGTTCCAGGGTTAATCCCTGCCAGGTGCCAGGCTGCGGCCTCACAGAATCTTCAGGAGCGTTCTTGCCCCACGCGCCCCCATCCCACTGCCCCGGTTCAGAGCCCTTGGCTAAAGCTGGCTCTGCCTTTGGGGAGTTCCACAGCGAACTTCTCCACGTCACTGCCTCTGTTATCCACCAGCGCCCTAGACAGGTGCATATCTGTGGATGCCACCTGGCCAGAGGGGACCCCAACATCCATCATGGAAGGCTGACTCCTCATGCCACCTCCTGCTCCCCAGAGCTCCTGGGAGAGAAAGTGGAGCTCGGGCACCTGCAGAGGCTGTTCCCACCCCGGCCCAAGACCTCTGCTGCCTACCTGGCGGAAGAAGGGGGTGAGGGTGCTCTCCGGAGAGGGTCTGTCCCGGGCTGGGCCTTCCTGCTGACTGCAGTCCAGCTGGATCAGGCTGCGGCACTCTGGGTGGCAGGTGAACTTACAGTCTGCAGGGAGAGAACCAAAGGCGCTTAGGGGCCTGGCCTGATCTCTACCCACTGCCACCCAGAGAGAGAGCCTGGAAGACTGTGCCGAGCATCTGGGGGCAAGAGAGGAGCAGGAGAGCGTGGAGGGACGAGGACTGCTGTCTCAGAGACAGCGTGGTGAGTGGTGCCGGCTCTCAGCAGGGCCACTAGCGGTGAAAGCTAACAAGTGCTGTGCACGTTTGCAAACTGCTTCACCTCCAGTATTTCGTGTGACCCTGCAATAATCACTAGTGCCACTTTACAGACAAGAAATTGGGGCCCAGGGAACTCAGTGACTTCCTCAAGGTCAGGTTACTGGCTCTAGCCTGGTGCTCTTTCTGCTGATGTGCATTTGTCACCAGGGGCCACAGATCCCTGGGGAAAGACGACTTCCCTGGGCCTCCTTGTGCCAATCTGTAAAATACAGGTAACGCCTGCCCTGCCAGCTGCACAGGGATGTTTATGGTCACAGAGGAGAACATGTCTTGCAAAGTCACAAGTGCCTCTGGAGACAAAGGCATCGTCATGAGCCGGAAGGGCTATTACCCCTTTTTGGCCATGCGTAGTCTAGAAATGTGGGGGTGGCTACTCTACCCCAGTTGAAAGAGCCTACAGACAACACCCCAAATCAGGTGCTTCAGGGGAACACATTTCATAGACAGGCTCACTTCCATGAAAGCAGAAACTTAACAACCAGGGCTGGAAAGAACCTTGGGGATGCCTTACAGGTGGGGAAACCGAGGCCCAGAGGGGTAACATGAGGTGTGCAATGACACACTCATCAGAGGCAGAGCCAAGGATGGTAACGTGTGCCAGCTCTGGCAAGGGCTCCATCAGCAGGGCAGAGGTGAAGTCTCGGGAGCAGACAGCAGGCTCAGCCAGCGAGGGGAGGGGTGTGTGTGGGTGCTGGGAAGAAGAAAAGGGTGGCAGCAGAGGAATCAAGTCTATCAGCAGGCTAAATGCTCAGATGTGGGTGTGATGCCCACACAGAACTGTCAGGACAGCGGGGTCCCCTGTCCGGCAGGTGCCATGGCTCAGCGAGAAGGCCGAGCGGAAGGGTTCAAGTCTCTGGTGAGAAGGTCGCATTCCTGATTGTAAATAAGATGCAGGGGACCAGCTCGGGCAGGCATGCTTTGTGAGGGGGACATGGCAGCCTGCGCTTGCTTAGAACCTGGGGACTAGAGAACCGCTAGCTTTTAGCTGCTACGGCTTCAAGCTCCTCAAGACTTTCCTTTCCTTCTACCAAGCTCCAGACATTTAGCGCCCTTGCTCCCTGTTTTAAAGCTGCCATTCCACACTCTGTCTTGGGGTGGGGGGTCTCTTCTCCCAAAGCCTGGTTTTGGAATGAGAGCCCCAGTCTCCCCAGCTGCCTCCATCTCTTACACCTCCAAAGATGAGAACCTGGGCCACATGCCTTGTATGGGTTTTGAATTAATGTCTGCAGGGGAGGATCCTGACAAATGTAGGGACGTGCAGTTTCCAGAACCCTGCACGCGTCTTACAGCATTGGTCGGATGTTCCCTCCCACCTTTCTGGGGTGGAGTTCATTTTTTTTTATTTATTCATTTAGTGAAAATGTACACAACAAATCATACATCAACAACTCCTACATGTACAATTCAGTGACATCGGTCACATTCTTCAAGTTGCACCACCTTTCTCAAAATCCTTTTCTGAATATTTCACCATCATAACACAAACTCACAGCCCCTCTAAGGTTCTCATCTATCCTTTCAAGCTGCTGTTGTCAATTAGATCACATACAGATAATTCTTTAAAAGAGTATAATGCTTAATGCAGACATTCTTTTCTAATTAGGCTAAACTATTATTTGGTTCAAAGATGACTTCAGGGGATAGTTTCTGTTCAAGGTTAAAGACTTCCTCAGGGTAATAGTTTTTTGGGGGTCTTCTAGCCTCCGTGGCTTCAGAAAGTCTGGAGTCCATGAGAATTTGAAATTCTATTCTGCATTTTCCCCCTTTTGATCAGGATTCTTCTACGGACTCCTTGACATAAATGTTCAGCATTGGTAGCTGGGCATCATTCAGTTCTTCTGGTCTCACGGCTGAGAAGGCAGTTTCTGGGGTGGCATTCAGAAGCTCCACTGTTCATCTCATTGCTGCCTGAAGGGTAGGCCCACAAATGGCCCTCCTTCAGACCCCACCTTTCTCTAGGCCTTACCAACCCCCCTTCTGCAGAGGCACCTCCTCTCGGAAGACAGAATGAATGAGGCAGTTCTCTGAGGTATGGACCATGTACCTGTAGATGCCCACATGCATTCTGGGCCCAGGGTGGGGTATCTTCCACCAAGCACACAGACCACCTCCATCGTGGCCCCACCTCGCCCTTAAGTGGAGTGAAGGGCACGGAGGGTGATGTGCAGACCTGGTCTCCCCTGCCCGTGGTGCCCAGAACGTGGGGCTTTGATAAGGCAGCAGCGAGGCTAGAGCCCACAAAGAGCAGCATTGTTCCCAGCTCTGCCCTGGGGCACACCTGAGCAGCAGGCCACAGCGAGGAAGAATGCGGTGGGAATGCCAAGAGGTGGGGACAAGGAAGAGGAGGAAGGACTGGCAGCTCTCCCCACTGCAAGGGGAGCGAGAGTTGCCACCAACCCCAAGTGGGAGAGCATCCTGGGAGAGGAGGAAGTTCTCTCCCCACCCCCCATGTCTTTCAGCCCCTGTCTGCTGACACAGGCAGCCTGTGCCCATCTGTGCATCTGCACCTCCCTCGCTTCCCTCCTCGCTCCATCTCTCTGTCTGTCTCTGTCTCCGTCTATCACTCTCTCCCTCCCTCCCTCTCTGTGTGTCTTTCTCTCTCTGTCTGTTTCTCATCTCCCTCTCTCTCTCTCTCTCTGTATCTCTCTCTCCCTCCTTCTCTCTGTCTCTCTATGTCTTCCTCTTTCTCTTTCTCTGTGTCTTTGTCATTCTCTCTGTCTCCTGCCCCCATCTCTCCCTCTATCTCTATCTCTCTCTCTCATTCACACACACACACACTCAGAACCTGAAAACAGTACCAAAACCTCAGGAAGATCTTTTTACAGGCCTGGTGCTGAGCTGGACAGAGCAAGGGAACAGAAGACTCAAAAAGGAGTGTGCTGGGATTTTATAAAAAGCACGTTTGAGCACAATGACTTTACTCCATCAGACCGTGTAATCAGACTGCAGCAAAACTGCTGAAGCACACTTCGATACCTCCTGGCCCCTGGCAACACCAAGCCAGGCTGCGAACAGCAGAGATGAAGTCAGACCCCCTGGCCTTCTCCAAACACACACAAGCCCCACTGCCCACAGCCAGTAGCCTGATGTGTTATGAGTGGAAACACCCGTGAGATTCCAAAGACATAGGGAGTTTGGCTGGGACCGAAGGGTTCAACCACAGACACCTTTCCCTCAAGACAGCTCATCATGGGGTACTGTCTAACCAGCCCTGCCGTTGGTATTCCACCGTCCTCCACAGCCTTCGGTTGGTGTCAATGTGAATGAAGAAAGAGTGAGGCCCTGAGTCCAACCTGCCGTACAGGCCCCTCAGAGGGGCTCAGCCTTCCCTGGATGGCCAACGCCATCATCTGTGGTGGCAGCATCACATGTACTGAGTATGGCTTCCAGTGTGCCCTGTGCCAGCCTGGGGGTGAGGAGAGACAGACAGGACCCTTGAGGGACTCAGGCTAGTGAAGTAGATCAGACACACACGTGAAAAGATAACTAATGAGTGAGACAGCACAAAAGAGGGGCCCAACTATGGCACCCGAGGCAGTGGTAGAATTCCTGCCTTCCATGCAGGAGTCCCGGCTTCGAGTCCTGGCCAATGCACCTAGTGCACAGTCACCACCCATACTTCAATGGAGGCTTGCATGTTTCTATGATACTGAACGAGTTTCAGTGGAGCTTCTAGACTAAGATAAACTAGGAAGAAAGGCCTGGTGACCTACTTCCAAAAATCACCAATGAAAACCCTGTGGATCACAGTAGTTTGATCTGCTCACCTAAGAGTTTCTTGCAGAAAGGAGTGCAGACAAAAACACCAAATACTGGGGAAAACTGAGAAAGTTAACACTCTCAAAAATTCCAGTGCCCCAACAAAAAATCACGAGACACACAAAGAACAGAGGAACAATGGCCCATCCAAAGGACCATGACAAAAGGAGTGAAAGCAAATCTAGGGATGACTAAATAATGAAAAAAAAAAAAGGAATAATATAATACAAAAACATTAAACACAATTAAAGAACTAAGGGAAAATATACACAAAAAGCTAAAAGAAATAAGGAAGACATGCAATAACAAAATGAGGATTTACAAAAAAGAGATATTGCAACTGAAAGGGACAATAACCAAAATGAGAAACACAATAAAAAGCCTTACCAATAGATTTAATCAGGCAGAAGAAAGAATTAGTGAATTAGAGGACAAGACAGTTAAAATTACAGATGCTGAAGAGCAACAAAAACAGAGGTTCAAGAGGCTGAGTACAGTTTAATGGAATTATGGGACAACAAGAGACTTAATACACGCATCATGGGAATTCCAGAAGGAGATGAGATATAGGAACAGAAAGAATATTTGAAGAAATAATGACAGAAAATTTCCCCAATCTAACGAAGGACATGAATCTACAAATCCAAGCAGCTCAAAGATCCCCAAGCAGGATAAAGCCAAAGAGATCTACACCAAGACACATCATAGTTAAGTTCCCAAAAATTAAAGAAAACTTCAACACCTCAACAATAAAAAGACAAACAATCCGATTAAAAATGGGCAAAGGATATGAATAGACACTTCACCAAAGATGACATTCAGGCAGCTAACAAATATATGAAGAAATGCTCACGATCGTTAGCGATTAGAGAGATGCAAACCAGAACTACAATAAGATATCATCTCAACCCGACATTACTGGCACTAATTTAAAAAACAGAAAATAAAAAATGTTGGTAAGGTTGTGGGGAGACTGGAACTCTTATACATTGCTGGTGGGAATGTAAA